TCTCTAAAATATAATCAACCTACCTTTATTATCTCTAAAACATAAGCAACCTACCTTTATTATCTCTAAAATATAATCAACCTACCTTTATTATCTCTAAAACATAATCAACCTTCCTTTATTATCTCTAAAACATAATCAACCTACCTTTATTATCTCTAAAAATATAATCAACCTACCTTTATTATCTCTAAAATATAATCAACCTACCTTTATTATCTCTAAAACATAATCAACCTACCTTTATTATCTCTAAAACATAATCAACCTACCTTTATTATCTCTAAAATATAATCAACCTACCTTTATTATCTCTAAAACATAATCAACCTACCTTTATTATCTCTAAAATATAATCAACCTACCTTTATTATCTCTAAAACATAAGCAACCTACCTTTATTATCTCTAAAATATAATCAACCTACCTTTATTATCTCTAAAACATAATCAACCTTCCTTTATTATCTCTAAAACATAATCAACCTACCTTTATATCTCTAAAATATAATCAACCTACCTTTATTATCTCTAAAACATAATCAACCTACCTTTATTATCTCTAAAATATAATCAACCTACCTTTATTATCTCTAAAATATAATCAACCTACCTTTATTATCTCTAAAACATAATCAACCTACCTTTATTATCTGTTCATGTTGTAACTGTTCAGAACTCAACTGGAATTGAAGAGCTGATATTTCTTGTATCTGAGTATCAACTACAGCCTGCAATTCATCTCTTGATTTCTCTAATTCAATTACTCTATCATTTCCATCTAATGAATCTTTTTCCATTTTACTTTTACGCTCAGAGAGCTCTTTATTATCAGCTTGTAATTGTTCCAGTTCTGTCTCTTTTTTTGACAGTTTGGTTTTCAGATCTAAATGTTCTCTGGAAGCTGTTTCCAAATTATTCTTAATTTCTTCTAATTGAGCTTCTAATTCAAGTTTTACTGATTCTACATTTTTGAGTTCTTCACCTTGATTTTCAAACTGCTGAGTTATCATTTCAATTCGAGATGTCAGTGAAAATGATTCTTCTGTTAAATTATGAAATTTGATCTCAGCATCAGAAAGTACAGTTTTTAAACCATCAACTTCATCTTTAAAGAGAGATTTTTCTGTCAAAATCTTCTCATTCTGTGATTTTGCTTCCTTTAATTCTTCTTTTACAGCATCACATTCTTTTTCTGATTCTTCCAACAGCTGTGCATTCTTCTGAAGTTCTTCTTTGGCATCAGAATTTTCTTTTTCAGTATTTTCTTTGCTGGAAACCATTAATTTTAATTCGGTAGATGTTTGTTGAAGTTGATTTTTAATGACTTGAATTTCATTTAACGACTCATCAATTCGAGTTTTCAAGCCTTCATTTTCAAACTCACATTTTTCAAATTTTTCTTTAAATTCTGTTTTTAGCTTATCTTCATTTTCTAATTGCTGTTTTAAATCTGATAACTGCTTTTCACTGTCAAATTTTACCTTCTCAATTTCACACTGTACTGTTTTTTCACTTTCCAGTTTTTCAGTCATCTCTTTGACTAATGCATCTGAGAAATCAAGCTTTGCTCCCATGTCTTGAAGCTGCTTTGTTATATTCTTCTTTTTGTCATTCAAAGTATTAACCTGAGACTTCAAATCACTGACTTCATCTGTCTTTGATGCCAATTCTGACTTCAATATTTCCATTTGAGTTTCTAAATCTTTCTTATTATTCACAACTTCAGAACTTGTTTTTTGAAAATGTTCTTCACTTTTTGCCAAGGATAATTCTAAATGAGATTTATCTACACTAAGAGCATTATATTTTTCCTTTAATTCACTGAGATATTTTGTTAAAATGTCTTGATTTTTGACTAGCTCTTCATTTTCTTTAACGCACTTTTGTAAAGATTCTTCTAAATTAGATATTTTCTCATTAGAAGATTTGAGTTGGTCTATATTTGAAGATATCTCATCAGTATATTGTTTTTCCATGTGAGATAACTCTTGCATTAGTTCTAGAACTTTCTTATCTTTATCAGTTTCTCCATACTGTAAATTCTCTAGTTTATTCAACATATGTGTATTCTCTGATTTATATTTTGTTAGTTGAGAAGTTTGTGTTTTAATGTTTTCAAGTACCTTGTTTAATATTACTATACTGTCTGTCTTATCATTAACTAAATCCTGAAAAATACAGATATTTTCTATTAATTATACAAATACATAAGAAATCATACTTGCAGCTGCTTTTTCAACCCAGTTCCACCTCTTTGTAAGATATGTCAAAGCAGGTGACAAAGAAAAAACAGAGGACCTGCGTGCTACAGGCTGTGTATGTTAAAGATCACTCAATAGTTGGAAATTGAAAAAGGGTTAGCTATCGCTGCTGTTTCTCATTACACACTGCATGGTGTTGTACTTCTTCTTTAGACCAATTAGGTGCAGAAAAGAAAGCCTTAAAACTGCATTCATTTCATTTCATTAACAAATATCTGTTGTGAATGAAGTTTAAATTAGAAAATAAGTGTGAAAGGAAATTCTTACATGGTCAATTTATACTGTATTTATTATTTTGTATTTCACTTACCTCCGAATTAGTTTCCAATTCTTTATATAATTCTACTATAGCCCTGTCTTGATTCATTATAACTGTTTTATATCTCACTACATCGTATTCAGAATCTTGTAAACATTTCTTTAACTCCTCAACTTCCTTACACTTAGTCGTAACTTTCTTGTCCGACATCTTTTCTAATTCCTCTTTATCATTGTGTAATTGTTTGATTTCCTCGTTAAGAGATTTTATTTTGTCCTGTGAGTCTGCAAGTTCAGCCACCTTTTGGTAAACAGTTGTCTTTAATTCCGATATTTCCTGATTTAAATTATGTTTTTCAATCACTGACTTGGTTAAAAATGATTGTAAAGATTGATTAAAATCATGAATGTTAAAATCATCATTGTTTGCATTATAATCATTAAATTCATCATAGTCACTAAAACATTGTATGATATTAATTATGGCACTTAAATATTTCTCTTCAGACTGAACATACTCATTTTCTCTCTGTTTAAGCTTAGATTGAGCTTGATTAAGCTTTTCAGTTGAATCAGTTAATTGTTCTGTTAAAGAAGCTAGTTTAGAAGAGCTTAATTTCTCACTAGCATCCTTATTAGAGGAAAGTTCAGATATTTCTGTGACGAACTTTTCTTTTTGAATATTCAATTCTGAAAATTTTTCCTGTAAATTGGATAGTTGTATTTCTAATTGAGTATTTGTAGCTTTAAGTTCAGTATTTTCAGTTTGAGATAGTTTTAAACTGTCCAACATATTTCCTAATTTATTAACAGCATCAAGACTAGCTGATGCTTCTGTACCCTTATCTTCTAAAACTGATTCTAGTTTCTTTAACAATTCTCTATTGTGCTCTTCTGTGGAGCTTAATTTCATCTCCAACACTTTGAAATCCTCACTTTTCTTTGCCATCAAATCTTTCTCAGTTTTAAGTTCCTGCCTGGCAGATTTAAGTTCTAATGAAATGTTATTTTTTGTACTTTCTAGTTGAAAAATTTCATCTTTATGTTTGGATTCTAAATCCTTTCCTTCAGATTTAGACTGAGCCACAAGATATTGATAATTTTCAATTTCTGTATCATATTTCAATGTTTGTGTAGCTAAATTTGCTGTAGCTTCATCAGCTAATGAAATTTTGTTTTTGAGGTCGGTTTCAAGTTTCCCATTCTTTTGCAGTAATTCATTATAGCTGAAATATACATAAGAAAACAGAAGAATAAACAGTGAGTCATGATTTGATGGCATATGAATTCGGGTTCAGGATTTGTTTACATATGAAACCCAAGCATCAGATACCACCTATTGAAAATTTGTTTGTAAACATGTCTAATTTATTTTAGCATTAATTTCGAATGAATGCCATACATATCCAGAGAAAATAAATAGAGAATTACACTATCAAACAACAAATACCATACCTCTTTTCTAAATCGTGATATTTTTCTTGCATATTTTCCATTTTCTCCAGGTTATTATGAAGCTGGTCTTGAACAACCAATAGTTCACCTTGTGTTACCCATGCTGATTGGTCTGATAATAATTTCTTTTCTTGTAAAGATTCCAATTGTTCGTTCAATTCAGATTTGATATTCTCAGAAAAGGCTAGATCTTGATGTAATCTATCAACTTCTGATGTATCAAATACTGGTATAGACATATTTAATACACTTGTATTATCCTGTAATATAATACAACCAATACAACATTATCAATAGCTAATATCATATAAATGGATAAAACAATATCCAACATGACACATCCAAGTAAAACACACTGTATATGTAATATTAGAGTTAGGTTGTTAATGTCTTTTGAGTTTGAAACATGAAATTTGGTGATGCTACACCAAATCCTCAAAGATGTTTTCAAGGTTAACCCTCATTATAATGTAACCTGACAACATTCAACTGCAAGACATTTTCAGTAAACAAATCTGTTATATATCTAAGCCACACCTCTATAATTGTTACATGGATGCTTTAAATACTTACAGTTAAATTACTAGTTAAACTACTAAAACTATCTCTTCTACTAGGTGGATTCCAAGAAAAACTTCCCCCAGATTTCCTAAAATCAAAAACTTGGTTTTTAAAATCCGAAAAAATATTTTAACAGCATATAAGCCACTAAGTCTACTAAAATAAAAACTCACACAATTTGGTAAGGAAATAAATAACAAATTTACTCAAATATGCTTTGGAACTGAACAGTAATCAATAAGTGATTGAATAGTAGCCATTAAGAGATTGAACAGAAGCCAGTAAGTGATTGAACAGTAGCCAGTAAGATATTGAACAGTAGCCAGTAAGAGATTGAATAGTAGCCAGTAAGTGATTGAACAGTAGCCAGTAAGAGATTGAAAAGAAGCCAGTAAGTGATTGAATAGTAGCCAGTAAGTGATTGAACAGTAGCCAGTAAGTGATTGAATAGTAGCCAGTAAGAGATTGAACAGCAGCCAATAGGAGATTGAACAGTAGCCAGTAAAGGATTTAACAGTAGCCAGTAACAGATTTAACAGTAGCCAGTAACAGATTTAACAGTAGCCAGTAGGAGATTAAACAGTAGCCAGTAAAAGATTTAACAGTAGTCAGTTAGAGATTGAACAGCAGCCAGTAGGAGATTAAACAGCAGCCAGTAAAAGATTTAACAGTAGCCAGTAAGTGATTGAACAGCAGCCAGTAGGAGATTAAACAGTAGTCAGTAAGTGATTGAACAGTAGTCAGTAAGTGATTGAACAGTAGCCAGTTTATTGAACAGCAGCCAGTAGGGGATTAAACAGTAGCCAGTAAGTGATTAAACAGTAGCCAGTAAGAGATTTAACAGTAGTCAGTAAGTGATTGAACAGTAGCCAGTATGAGCCAGTAGTCATTGTGAGATTGAATAATAGCCAGTAATAGATTCAACAGTAGTCAGGAAGTGATTAAAGAGTAGCTAGCAAATGACTGAACAGTATGAGATTGAATAGTAGCCAGTAAATGATTGAACAGTAGCCCGTAGGTGATTGAACAGTAGCCATCAAAAGATTGAACCGTAGCTAGATTCAACAGTAGTCATTGTGAGATTGAATAATAGCCAGTAATAGATTCAACAGTAGTCAGGAAGTGATTAAAGAGTAGCTAGCAAATGACTGTCAGAGAATTAAAAATAAATCTAATTTATTTAATGAAATGAAACATTTGGAGATCATTGCTTCAGTACCCCCATTTCTTTAGAAAACAGAAAATACTTACTTAGCAAATGAGGGCCAAGCACTATCCAAATCATAACCTCTTGAAGACAGGTCAAAGTTGACATCATTTAAATCATACAAAAAGGAAATAATACTGGATGACTTCTCTTTCTGTAACCATACACTTTGAGGTAAATAGTAATCGCTGAAATAGTGTTTATATTGCAAGTTTAGCAAGTTATCTCAATGTAAACATCCACAATTGTGATACTTTTTTATCAAGATAGCTTGAATACCAATATTCTCATATTTCATTATCTTCATAATCAATCTTCATAATGCACTTGTAGTTCAAAAATATTGAATTTATTATTATCTCATCAATTTACTGTTAAGAGTGAAGAAGTTCCTAAAAACTTCTATGTAAAGCACTGGCCAAGGTCACAAATAAAGAGATAAATGTTCAATACAAGATAAGGTGAAGTTAGCATAGTTAGTATTAAGTTAAAAAAACAACCACGAGTAATCTACAATAAACAAAAGTCTATAATATGAAAGTTTTCTTGTAACCAGTTCTAAAAGAAGAGAGTATGAATAGGTTCTGAAAAGATAAACATCTATATATAAGGATTAGAATATATTATACTTAATGAGCTAGAAAATAGAGAGGGGGGTCAAGTATTATTGGATTCAATGGGATCGAGTCTACCACGGACCAGAAAATTACTAAGGTTTTTATTGCGCTTATAGGCAATTACAAGTCGTTTGGTATATACATTTGGTGTGTAAGCTATTGTTTTCCCACAAAATATTTTGAAATCAATAACAAAACCCCAAATACACTTAATTATTATAATCACACTGCTCTCAAGACACAAACTGAAGCCTCTATTGTTTTGACAAGCCAAATTTGATGCCATTTTATTAAGTTTAGGACAATAACTCCTAAACAGTTCATCTGATTATAAACAAATTAGAACTTGACTGAGATCTCATCAATATGTAACATTCATTACCAGTGAAAAATTAAAAATAAAATCTGCGGCTTCTATTGTACCTACAAGACAGACAACTGACAGATGGACAGAGGCAACTTCAATTTCCTTTCCATGTATACACATCAATTATGAGAAAGATGATGGTGATGTCAGTTTAAAATAATAAGCTGGATTCTAATTTTGCAGGCATTTACCTAAGATTATCAAGCAGATTAAACTGTAAAGATAGTATTGGTCCGTAAAGAGAATTGAATGAATACTAATTACCTTGTTACTTTACCATTAACTATGCATTGTTGTATACTGTCAGGTAATCTATGATGTACTAATGAAAACCTTATCAAAGCTCTTCCTTTACCAACAGATGTTTTATGCTGTAACAGACAACTTTTTAAAATGAGTGCATCCAAACTTTTAGACTAAACTTTGGTTTTAGAAGCTCAGAAAAAAAGTTTTAAATAAATCCATAATCAAATTAGACGTAAAATGTCAAAATGATCAAGGTTAAGTATTGCCAATGATACCACTAATTATGCAACCATTGGGGACAAACATATTCATGTGTATCTGTTCTGTATTCATACACATCAAAAGTATCTACTCGGTGACAATTTTGATGAAATTCTTGCGAAAAATAAAAAAAAAGAAGTAAAACAGTGTACATGTCACTGTTAAAACATTTCTCAAGACATAAGAGTTTCATTAACAGCTATTACCTCTCCTAAAGACTTCACAAATTTAATTCCATCATTAGAACCTTTATTTTTAGACAAACAATCACAAAAATAATCCCAATAATCTTTCTTCCTTCCTAATAGAGAATACTTGTCTGAAACATAAGAAACCTAATCACAAAATGGAAATAAAAAATTGATTTACGGGTGTATTACTATTATATCCAAAACCAAGCATAAGAGTCACAGCCTTAAATATATAATTCCAAACAACATCCTCATACTGTCAGACTGCATAATAAATGAATATCAAAAATGGCTTTATCATTTTGACTTCTATATTGCCAAACACAACACAACTAATATATATTGGATAAAAACAAATTATAATTAGACCTTCTCTAGGAAAATTGAGATCAGATTTTAAGTGGTATTTGAAAAAATAGATCAACAGCTCTGATATTTGATATTTCTCTGAAATAAGCTTACATATTAAGTTATACTAATATGTATTAAAATCATATAAGCTACATTACTTTGGGATGGTGTATAAATATGATAGGATGCTTTATTGTGTATATATAATAAAAGTATCAAATAAAGAAATTTAAAAACTAACTTACCTCTCATGTCTATTTGAAATAGATGTTCCAATTTAGCACAAAATCTCTGAAGGGTTTGATTGTCATCATTAATTGGTGATTTAGACTGTTCGTGAAATATGTCCACCAGATCCTTTACACATTCTAAAAACAATAGAGTTCATAATAAATAATTTCATCTATAACTGATCAGCCAAACCAGCAGCTTTGGAAACATAATAGGCTATAAGGGCTTAGTCTGTACAAGTTCATATCTTAGATAACTGGCAGTAAGCTTATATGAATCACAGACCTTTCCTTTTGAGATGTGAGTGAAGGAAAGATAATCAATCATTGATTTTCAATAAGAATATTTTATGATTAGAAAATTGATTTTTGACTTACACAGGCCTATCAAACTGGGAATGGTAATGTTATAACTTAAGCCTAAAAAGTTCATATTTACATGTAAAACTTCCAATCCATGCTGAAACTTGAGTTTTAATGCTTTAAAATGCAGACATGCCCAATTATACACCTGCTTATTTAGTAGCCTACATAACCTACCTTCAATATCTTGTACAATTTTCTGTTGCTGTGGTTTTGTAGAAAGATTGGTAACTGAAGCAGCCATTTTGACTCTGCTGAGTGTGTGAAATCTCACCAGTATCTGAGATTAAAGGAGAGACAATGCATTTAGGGTCAAGGTAAATCTGTTGAGAAGAATTGCCATCCAAATACTTTAATGGTATCAACATTAATGGTTAACTGTGTCACATGACATGCAAAAACGACAACCCTGACAACTTAACAAGATTTTTTTCAGGAAATTTTGCTTTTAATCGTTCTATATACCTCCGGTTTCTTTCATAAAAAAAATATCGAACATATTAATTTACCTGTATTTCTTAATCTGCAGTAAACAGTTCAAGAGAAACTCCAACAAGTGACAGTTTGCCCATTACTTACTTCTGTCAGTTTTGTGATTTTTTGGGCAGTTGTTTTTATTAAGTAAGCTTTTCATGTCTTCAAAGATAGAGAGTTTATAAAGGGGCGCAACTAAAAAAGGCACACAGACTACAATCAAATATCGATAAGAAAGAACTAGGTGATGAGTTTCATTATATATTAAATTGTAACTTTTTTATTATAGAAAGACATAAATTTATACCTGATCATATCTATAACAACAGGAACATTATATTAGTCTGTCTGATTTAATGAATAGTCAAGACACTTGTCGGCTTGTAAAATTTCAAATTCCAGCTGCCAGGAAGAACTTGGTGATGAGTTTCATTATATTTAATTGTAACTTTTTTGGTAGGGAAGACATACATTTATACCTGATCATATCTATAGGCACAGGAACATTATAAGTCTGAGTTAATAGTCAAGATACATAAATATTATGATAAATTTGAAAAATTGTCATGTTTGTAGGCCTATTTAAGTAGGCCTAACCGTATTTGTAATGTCTCACTTCCAGCTCCTTACACCAACTTCATATGTATATATGTTTGTTACATTTATATTTGTTATATTTATATTTGTTATATTAATATTTGTTATATTGATTGTGTTAAATTCATCGTACTATTATGCCTCATGTGAGGCCTTTAGTGAAATAAAAAAGTTTCAAAAGTATCATTATCAGATGGGGCGTTATAGTTCTGAGCCTATGAGCGAGAAAAGAAACTCAAGAATTTTTTGAAAGTTTATTTAACAAGGAGTCTTAAATTTCATGGTGAGTTTTGTAGCGCCAAATTTAAATTTAGGCTAAAAAGAGCTGAAAATAAGACATCTGAATATCACCTTTTTTGCCGACTTTTTAAAAACTAAGATAACAACAGCTTTCTTATGTCACAGAAATGGGGCAATATGATTGGATAATGTCATTTCACCCGACCAGGTCTTACGAAGTATCAACACAGCATCATCCAATTTGTACCAATCCAACTATAACAATTAACTATATAGGGCCTACTACAAAATACCAACAACTACATAGTTTGCAATATCAGCATCCACTGGCAGCGAAACTGTGATCTACCAACCAACCAACCAAGTCTATAAGATAAGGCATATAGCTTCCCATTGTGAAGATGTATCTAGACATGAATTTTAACATGGCTTATTTAATAGATTCCAGATCAGTTTTAACTTTCATTTATTCCGAGGGCTATTTTAAGCCAAAGGCAATATGTGCGACTGAATTACAGATTAAATAACGGAACACAATTTTATGGTGTACTACTCTTTAGTTTTATTACACACATTATCAGATGAAGCTGTGATCTCTACCACTACTAAATGTCGCTAAAGTTTATATTACAGATTAATCTGTGATTGGCACTATATTTTAAACTCTGGTGACACCAGACCCTGGTGACCCTATCGGCTTTATATCTATAATAGGTATAGGAATAAAAGAATGAATCAATTTTGTTTGGCTCTATCAATTGACACCAAATTTGGATTTTATCCACAAGTATTGCACCAAGAAGTGATAAACCACTGATCAAACTGTAGAATTTTCCCGCCACGACTCATTTGATTGGTTAAAATGCCATGCAGAAGATTTCCCGAATTATGACGTCACTTCAAAATCAAAACATTGCCAGCCATTATCTGTCAGCTGGTACACCAACCTTTTCTCTTCCAATATTTCATTGGCTATAATTAAAACACAAAGTATCTCACTGTAAATATATATAATTCCATCCTAAAACGCCTTATATGAAACATATATACTTTATCTGGATCCTAAATAGTTGCAGACACAATTGTACTCATAAAATCGGCCTGATAAGTCTTATTATTTATGGAATTAAGACCTTGACCTGAGAATGATCCCAGACCTTCATGAAATATTAGCCAATCAAAACACCTTTTACAAATAAGGTTGGTCATGAATTTCATGTTATTATTTTTCTTTTGTCTATGCTGTCATTTCCAAGCTGAAATGAGGATTTTCCTCTAGCTAAATGGATTATCAACATGAATAATCATAATCATTTTAATCACCATGTTAAAAACAGGTCGGAGGTGAGTAAAATTTCTACCTGTATAGCAGTAAATATGTAACGGTACATCGATGTTTTTATAACAACCATAGTCTATAAAGACCTGTTATTATTAACCACTTTTACATCAACACAAACCTGACTAATTGATACAAAGTTATTCTTTGTCTGACAGTGAGCTAATATCTATTTTAATAGAGGACAATTGTCTCAGATATTTTCTTCGAAAACCATATTGGGGAGGACAGCCAATATAGATATTAAGTGTGTGGCCAGCTTTATTATCAAGTTTGAGGAAATTTATAAATACAGAAATTGAGGTCAGCTGTTTCCATAGTCTACATGAGAGTTCTTTGTTTAGACAAAACACATGTTTGAACATATAAGAGATCTATAAAGTTGAATTATACTTGTTTCCTGTGCCTGCTACAGATTATTTGATGAAAATATTATTTCATATCTCTAGATGTATTGGCACTCAGAATCAAAAGAAATATGGCATTGAAATAACAGAGTAACCATGTCCTGCTCCAAAACTATAACAAAGAAAAGTAATTTGGACAAATAGGCCAATTGACCTCTTTTATACTATATAGGCTAGAACAATGATTGATCTTCATAACCAGGTCAAAGGAAAATTATTGTTCCGATATGGATACCATATTTCCACTGTCGTTGGTGTTGCCAGAGCCTAATTATGACTAGTGGGGACTGTTGATTCATAGGCTACTCTTTAAGATGTTGAATTATCATTATTATCTGAAATGTAGCTTAAACAATGCTGTTACAACACATAGCAATTCTTTTAGAAGGATTAAAATGGTGGCTGTAGGTCCACAAGAGGATCTTGTTTTAGCAGTGCATATAGGAAGGTACCATTGTTGCATTAACCATTCATGTCTGATTTGGACTCTACGAACTTGATACATATGTCATGAAGTTTTTGTTGTTGATATTTGTCATTTTTTTGTCAGCATGTATTCACCAAATTTCTACTAAAATGTGACACATTAATGTAAGTGGTAATGAGTTGACTTTGAATGTTTGTGAAATTTTCAAGTAATAGTCCTGCTAATAGTGTTGAATGTTGCAGTTTTAATTTTACATTTCACCTACCATGGATGTATTGTGTTGTGTACATGTTACCAGGTATAGTACTATACCTGTACATCATATTAACACCTGTGTATTGTGAAATTTGAACTGTTTATTGAGATATATAGAGGCTAGTGGTGATTTAGAATTTTCAGTCAAAATATTATGAAAGATAAACAGCAGGTCACTGACCAAGTTTTTAAACATTAATGGACATTCACATGAATAGTTAACATTAATATGACACCAATGGTCCCAATATCATTTCACAAATTAATACCATCATACCTGAATATCCAATTAATGTGCGTTTAGACATATCAAGCCATAAAAATTTGGGTTTAATTATGGGGATAGTCATATCAGACTTTGATTAAGTGGAGAGGGATTAGATGGATGTAGGTTATGGGAAGGGTGGAGAAAGCCTGAAAAGATGTTGTATGCTACTAACTACTTAACTAAACGGAAACGGGTTGAAAATTGCTAGTTCTGATTTTGATCAAATAGTTTTTGTATACGATGGATTAGCGCATGCTCTGTTGGAGTTGGATGTAGACTCCTGTTTGATTTACCCCTAGGTGTTGTTGAGCAAGCATCATCTAACTCGGCAAGTCATACTTGAAGGTCTTTCATGTAAAATGAGTAGATAATGGAGCACCATTGTTCTTCCTGGGTTGTACTGACTTGAACATGATAATCAGCTATAAAGTGCATTTCATTCAATGGCTTTATGCAAACAAACAAATGTTTAAATAAAAGGCATGGCAAAGGCTATAATTCTTAATATTTTCTCTTGAGGTCTAAAAGTTGATAGAAATCATTCCATCATAGCTACAAAGCAATTTATAAAATGAATATTTGACATGAACTTTATTAATAATTAAATGAAACTAGTTTAATGTAACTAATGAAAGGAAAAGAGTAGAATTTGATGTATATTTTTCAAATTTTATTGTAGTTATTGTAGACACAAGTCTGTATTACCAGATTTAAAAGTCTTTTTTCGTGATATAAGATATTCTTGTAACGCCCCAACCTTAATTGTAATCAAAGTATAATGTCATAAACTCTACTTTTAAATGTGCCCAACCTTTAAATATTGTATTTGCTTTCAACCAAATTAAAGGATTTTGCATTTGAAAAGTCATGTAAGTATCACTATGACTCAAGTCAAGTTTTATCAGCTGATATATCATCTATATTCCATTAAATGCTTCTTGTTAAAGGGATTGTAAAAAGTTTTCTAAAATTTGTTTGTGTATTGGGGACACTGATAGCATCAATTTGCATCATTCCAATTTTCAATCAGACATCTGTGGTTCATGCAATTCAACTAAGACTAAGTGTTTGATGACGTCGCTAATCGTAAAATATGCTTTATCACATCAGTATCCCTGGGACTCATAACATTTTTAGAAAACCCCTTTACAATCCCTTTAAAGGAAAAGAACATCTACATCATTGAAGAAACAGCCAAATAATTACTGATGTCATTGGAGGTAGGAATCCAGTATGGCTACAAGTTAAACATTTTAAGGCCTATGTTGTCTGAATTCTATGGTCATTCAGAGGTCAAGTTACTGAGATTAAGTATGGTCTAATACCAGTAGGTCAGGTAGAGTATAATAGCCTAGAAATTTCAGTTTACAAAACTCTGGTAATAGTATGAAAGTACATTGAAAACTTTATTATTTTTAAAATAGCATAGGCCTATGTAGTTCTTTGAAACCCCTATAAACTATCATCTTCAAAGGGCATTCCCTACTAAACCATGCAGCATATTTGAAAAGTCCTCCCGGGACTACTGAATAAGCCGTATAAGAAAAAGTTCAATAAACTGGCACCTCTGCCTCAATCTGTCATGAAAATTGAGTCAAAGATCTTTAGTTGGCTGTAATTATTGTGAAGTGAAAATTAATCCCTCTTACTAGTAATGCTCAAAATTCATCTTAGGCCATCTGAAATCCATTGGCTTTTGGGAGCATCGGGCAGCTCTCAGTGGTCCTTACCTTGGAAAGGTACCTCTCATTTTCCTCTCACCCCCATCTCTATTTTAGACATTTTCTGGATATGCCCTTGATTCTCTAAGAGATTTTCACGATATGCTAGTCCCATTTTCAATCCCAATTAATAAACCCAATCACATCAAATTTATGCCCATTGATTAGCTGTTATAAATATATATAACATTGACTGTATTTTGTGAATTTTCTGCTAGGTTGTTAGATAAGAATGGGTCATCTTGAACTGAGGAAATGTGTTGATTATTTAATCATTCAGGGAAAACAAATGTCAAATCTGATATGTCCAAATAATTCTAAAATTTTAATACAATGCTCAAACCATGTTGTTAGAATCATGACTCAGTCATTACATACTTGGTTGAAATCCTGGCACTTTGACACATAAAGGAAAGGTCCATCAGATTGTTATGAATATTATTTTGTGTGTTATGTGTATAACAGTTCAAGTAGCATAACAAACATACCAATCAAAAAAATATTAAAGATAGGCTTCTCATTCAAAAATGTTTTGAAATGGTTTGTGTCTGCATAATGATTTAAAGATCAGCCTGGCATGACTTGTGTCACAGCTCTTTAATTATTTTAAGGAGTACTTTCACAATCTTAGACTCAGAAATGGGAAATGTTCAGCTAGGCTTATCACTTATTGTGTCAGCTTTCAGTCAAAATTGGAGCCTTCTGATCCATAATCCATAATTTATCCATGGTTGTTTGCTGCCAACAACCTCCTGGTTAGATGAACTTCATATTACTTTTATTTAGTTGTAAGGCCTTTTCCCTCCAGACCTTGCACACAGCAGACTTCCTATCTGGACCTTGTCAACAAGTTATACAATATTCAGGAAGGGGAGAGACTAATGAGGATAGAAATGGAAAGTGGAATTTGCGGTTTGAGGAATATTTGAGGGGATATAACATGAGTTTCATACAGCTCTAGTAGTGAAGACAAGTTATATCGAGAACCAAAACCCCTCAATTGCAGATTGTTGCCTATCTTTTACATTCATTTCAGTCTACCAAGGTCTGATTATGTTGTAGCAGTTTCTTTAATTTTTACTGATAATCTTTGACATATTCTCTTTATATTTGTGACTCAGAAAGATTCTCTGAAATTGTCAGAATTAGATATGACCAGGTTCAAATCACTGCATGTTAGTATGAATATCGGTGGAAAGCTATGATTATATTGATCTGATAGTCTTAAAATAGACAGTGGACATAATGACAGATAGTTTCTTGGTCTATTATAGTCTTTAGAGACACAATGTTCTAAATAGTTCATCACTTGTTATTGGTGACAAACATGACCTACATTTATTTGTTTTAATTAAATAGGTTAAAGAGTTGGTTTGTTTATAGACAGCTATATTGATAGTAATTATTCTAGGTGGGTAATTATTGGTGTCATAGGAACCTAGGCTGGGGGATTTGTATGGGGGTGACATGTTCTTAGTTTTGGATAAAATCTCATAGATACCATGAAAATTTGAATTTTTGTGTATTGTGAAATGTTTATCATCTTCATCATTTTGGAAAGAAATCCCATGAATGTGCACTTTGTAGTTTATGGCATATCTCAAGATGTGGGCATTAAGTTTATCAAAGTTTAGAACCAAAATAACTTATCTTATTCTCATTTACTTACTTAGAACCTTACACTAGCTGTCAGTCAAATGTCTCATGATTGAATATTTCTTAATGAAATAAAGTTTCACTTAATAGAAAAGTTAACTAATGCTGATTGGATGAGAAAGTAGATTAGGCTAATGTGTATCCTTTTTCTCACTACTCTCTTGTTTGGTGGCTTCCATTAAATTTATGCAGAAAAGTAGGACGTAAAACTCCATTCATTTCCATTAAATTTATTAAAACACTTTTTAATTTAGTAAACGAATAAAGTTTACGATTAATACAATACTTTGAACTATACTAGTAGCTACATAAAAAAAAGGCATTTCATAGAGATGTTTGTTAGCTCTTCAGACTTTCCCTTTTGCTATATGACTTTTGTTCATTAGAACAGAAACACTTGATCTACACCAGTAACATCATTTTGATACCATGGCCCAGACATTATATTTTTTTAATAATGAAATTTCAATGCATGATTTTTGTTTAATGTTTAAGGAATTATAGGCAAACTATTGTCTGCTTGTTATTTGGCTGATACTATATTTTTGACTTTATCTTTGTTTCAGATACACACTGTATATGATGATGATGCTCCAATTAATAAAAAACTACCAAAAGAGTTATTGTTAAGGTAATAGTTAATATTTTAGTTGTACATTTTGAAATTATTCCATATTTCTTTTCTTTTCAATAAAAGAAAAGTAAGTAATAAAAATCTGAATCACAAAACTTAAAATCCAAAACAAGAACTTTCTCATGAGGATATATTCTTTTCATTGATGAGGAAGTATTGATATTTAATACACAAATAAACACTGTTCTTGATTTGGATATTAATATCTTTAACAGGAAAATATGACATTTGTCATGTCTGATATAGTGACAAGTATTTAGATATTATAAGTTGTAAGATATCCTTCTATCTATCAGTGGAATTTGTGTGAAAAAGGTTTGTAATGATTTTAAATGGAAATGGCAAATATCGTATACATTTTAAAAAGATGATGTTAGTTTCCATTAGACATTGTTTGATCATTATTTTCACAGCCAGGAATTCTTTTTGTAATACATGTATTACATGTAGGTCTACTGGTAGCATTTAATTTAGATTTAGAAACATCATTTTACCTTGACATTATTTTTGATTCAATCAATACTAAAGAATGACAATATTAAAGTATTTTGGACCCCCAAATTTGAAATATCAGGCACTGTTTTTAGAGTTATATCATAGCCTGTATAGATTTGTTAATTTTTACTGTGTCATGTAGCATATGATAAATAATTAATTTACATAGCTTAAGGCTTATTTTTTAAAAAAAGGAAAAAAAGCAATTTGGAGCTTAAAATTCACGAATTTACACTGAAAAAATCTCCAGATTTTTCAAGGCAAATCTCCAGATATTTTTTCCTGACCTGTACACGTGTATGGCCAGGATAGTTTTTTAATTGGTCACTTCACTAAGCCTACTAAGATTACTAAAAAACAAACTTGGAAAATCATGCCTCCAGGAGGATCATGTGGAAATGTCATTTATTCGCATCTTTTTCTTTCTATAAATCTGTTTTTTTCTGATATTGATGAAACGTTGTAAGTTTATATATTTTGATTACATCTTGATTAGGGCGGGGTATCGATTACAAAATTGGGATCGATTATCGATGGCATTTAAAATTAATTAAAATAATTTAATTGAGAAACCCTATGAAAATGAAATGAAATGAAATGAATGGAGTTTTACGTCCTACTTTTCTGCACCATGTGGGCTAATGAAGATGGGCAACGCCATGCAGGGTGCAATGAGGGAAATTTTGTCGGGACAGCGGCATTAGCCTGCTCTTTTTCGATTTCCAACTGTCGAGGGCTCTTTAACGTGCACAGCCTGTAGCACACGGGGCCTCGGTTTATTGTCCCATCCGAACGACTAGACGCTTTTTCCATGTCAGCCCCTCGTACCTGCATTACTGACAGGGGGAAACCGGGTTGAAAAAATCCGAAGGTATTATCTCGACTTATGCCGGGATTGAACCCTGGACCTTCAGGTTAGCGAGCAAGTGTCTAACTCACTGAGCCACCGCGGCTCCGAGAAACCCTATAAATACTAAATTAAAAACATGCCTAATGTCTTAATTTCAAGGGTTATTTCTGCGTCATAAAAGTATATTCTTGCTTTGATCGGTTATGATAGCTTATCGTGGGTAATTGTGGAAGAGATTACTACTAATTAACAGGTACAGTGGAAAAAATGTTACTTTGACATATGATCGATTATGAAATTTGATAATCAATAATCGAAATTATAAATTCCTAGCGGCGATTATCGATGTTTTCAGTAATATTACTTAACTTGACAGCTTTTAAGTTATTGCTCGGTATGGACGTATATTGTACTGGAATCTACAGTTTTAATCAATTTTGAAAAAATTTATTATGTATGTAAACATAAATATAAAATGAAGATCCAGTTTTCAAGAATATCTATCTGCATAAAAACAAGCCCAATGATTTAACCACTGCTGTAATGACAAAGAATCTTGCCTCAAGGGTCTCCTCCTCCAGTGAACTTAATTAGGGAAAATTCAATAGCTCCTGTAGTTATAAAGTAATTTTCATGAAATTTAGTTTGTAGACACAAGTCTTAAAAATAAAGATCAGGTGAGAAAATCTCTTGTTTGCCACAGTGTATTTGGATTTGATCCAATACGTTTTCACTAGCTGTAGTGAATTTTTTGGAGTATGACTCTATGTTGGTGTTTAACCACTTAGGGTAAACACTGATAATTGAAATTATTAAGTTATGTTCAGTATCTGAACTCAACTTAACAATAGGACTATGTTTTGATATTGATGACATTTAGTAATGACTTCACAGTTTTCAACAGCTGTCAGCTAAAATAATTAGCTTTGATTGTATTAATATAATTTGAATTGAATTTCAATTGATTTTAACTGATTTGCAAAAATGAATAAAAAAAATATGTTTTGTTTATTTGGTTGTGAATAAGCTTAGACCTACAATAGACTTTGCATAAATCTGATATAATATAGGTTTTCTTATATCAAAATAAGACAAAGTTTGATAATTTTCTCCGATAGTTTTATTGTCTCCCATACAGACCGTCATCATCCAATCAGATTCCTTTCCTTTTCAATTGCATGCTCTGTGCATGATTATTGACAAGGTGGAAAATGACCGACTGGAGTATTTTCTCTCCTCGTGTGCCCATACTAGTTGTTGAAACTCAAGACAAGACCCTAATTGACGACGAAAGTCTTCGACCAAGACCGCTCGTGTGCCCGCACCTTTAAGGATTGAATTGGGTGGCATTGTTGGTCTGTAAAACACATATTCCCCATGTCAAGGGTGATAACTCTAAAACCAAAGACACTATACAAATGTAGGTAATAAATGCATACCAAGTTCATTAAGAATGGATAAAAGCTGTATGCTTTATCACTTTCACATACTAAGATTTTTGCCTGAGTAATGAAAATAATTAAAACTATTAACAATATCTCATCAACATACATTATAAACATACAAAGGTTTGTCAGAATCTGATAAAATCTGTATGCTTTATGGTCTTCACAAGCAAAATTGAAAACACAGACAACATTATAATTTGGGTGTATAAAACATGAAAATAAGCTCATGGTGAAAAATGTGACAATGAAACTTGTGAAAGTTTAATACTTTGTAATATCCATCAAACAAGGATTATTGCAGCTATAGTTAATGGAAAATATATATTAATTCAAATTTATGTTTTGGGAGTAAGGATTATCTCCTAACTCCTATTTTGAAGCTATCTCTCAGAGTAAAAGGCTTTTTGTATGATATATAATATGATTCAAAGAAAGATTTCAAATTTCATGCATAATTGATAATCATAATAACCATTATATGAAATAGTTTTCACTCATTGTTTGGGAAGCATTAATCAAGAAAAAGTGTTTCCAGATAAGACTAACTATATTGGCCCGTATGCACCAAATGAAATTAAGCCTAATATAATTCTGTTCTGACCGAATAACATTTTAGTTTAATTCTATATTTTGTATGCACCACATAGAAATACCTATTTAGCTAATTTAATGCTAAACTTAAAGTTGGTCGAGACCAGTTTTAACTTTTAATTCTATTTGTAAATCAGTAGAAATTCCTTTTGTGGCTCTTCGATGTTTCAAAATGGACGATAATTTCGACGATATAGATGAACTTGGTGAAATCAACAATGTTATTCCCATCAATAGACATGTCAGGGATGGCCTGGACCCCTTCACATGGTTTTCGGTGTTGACTATTACTAATAGTTTGCAAAAATGAAACATGACATGGATTCCATATCAAATTTATTTGACGTTCATTTGCTCCTTCGAAGAATAGAAAGAACTAAAGATATCGTTTGATCTTACTCTTGTTGATAATTATCATATAAGACACCAGATGAGTGTCTGTAGAGTTTCGGACTACAAGACATCCACACTACATACAGCAGTGATTAAAATGTTAAATAAGAAATTTGTCTTAGTGACCAATCTTTAGGCTCTTTTGTCATATATAGATTGTGTATAGTGTGTGGTTCGAATGGAATATAGAATTTCAATTACAGTACAGATAAATATATTTAGTTAATTGTTATAGTTGGTCAATACAAAAAATACAATTATCTTTAAATACATTTAACTAAATCTATTGAAGGTTTAAAATAATTCTGTTCTTCTTAATTTGATTTTATATGATGCATACGGATATAAAACTTATGGTACCAATGTGCTGTGGGCCACAATTTGGTTGATTTGGGTACGCACTTTGGCAAATCACTAAAGTAAATATGTATTGTTGTCAAATTATTGTAGGTATTTTGTTTATATAAATGCACACTTTGATCTATATTGCTACTATTTGCTTAAATAAAAACACCTCAAGTAAGAGATAAAAGACATTTTGTCTGTTAATATTTTCTTTCAAAATGATAGACTGTAAAAATCTTATGGAATATTCCATTTTGTTTTTCTGCCTGTTACTGCTAGTCAGTTTGTCCTATTGGGCTGTTTAAAAGCAAAATTATGTCTTTTTGTGAGAAGATTAAAAAACATAGCTTATTACTTTACAAAATTTTATAAAATGGTTACCTTAGTAACAGCAATGTAATTTTTATTTTTTTTATGATAAGATTGTAGAATTTCATGATGTGTAAAAATCAATAGAAGACAATTAAAATACTGCAGAGTTTTTTCAGGAATGCTGTTTTTTTTTATTATTTTTTTTATGAACTGCTGTTATCAGAACTTAATGTTCTGTTCGCTTTTCAGTAAATATATTTGATAAGAATTCTAATTTTCCAAGCAAGATAGTTTGTATGATTCCTACAAAAACATTTTAATAGTAAGGTAGAAATAGATGCTCATTTTGGGGGTAAATTCAGTTAGTGAAATACAATTTACAATGAAAGAAATATTTCAAGTGCTAAAAAGTTTCTTTTGCTGCAAACACAAGATCTACGAAATTTCATTTTATCACAAATTGTGACTCACAATAAAAAAAAACTCTGCTATGAAAATTTCTCTCAGAAGTATTTGGAAGGATCTACTGGTACTAGCTATAAAGATTGTAGAACTATAAAGAAGGTTCTTATAATTGTGAATATGGCTCTTTTGGCTGTAATATCTATACATGTAAAGATAACTTTAGGAGATATAAAAGAAGGTTCTATTAGCTTAGATTTCTCTAAGAGCTTTAAAAAAGGCTCTCCTGCTTTAAAGGTGGATAAGATCTAGCAGCTGGAAAAAATGCTTTACTGGCTGTAAAGATAGCTTAAATTGATGCAAAGAAGGCTCTATAAGCGATAAATATTTCACTATAGCTATATTAACATTCTACTAGCTAGATAGCTCTAGCAGCTGTAAAAATGACTTTTGTGGCTGTAAAGATAGCCCTATAAAAAAGACTCTATTAGCTGTAAGATCTATAATAGAGGCATCTATTTATTGTAAAAATGACCTTTGGTCTTTCAAGATATCTCTGTAACATGTAAAGATAAGGTTAGGAGCTCTACTATCTATAATGTAGTTTAAGTTAGTTTTGCCATCCTGTATAAGACAAGTTATGATTTTGATCGCTCAAGGCCTCACTGTCAGGTTGTAGCATATTAAGAAAGAAGTTGTTATAAGATATAAGATTAATAGTCTGTTTATTTTATTTTCAGGATATTTTCATTTTTAGACGTTGTTTCGTTATGTAGATGTGCACAAGTTTCAAAGGTGAGTAAAATTATTAATGTATATTTAATTGGTCCATCACAAAACCAGATATTGAAATTAAAACACATACAACTTTAACTCAAATTATGTGATATTTTTTTTCGAAAAATGTAAGATATCCACATACGCATAAAAATTGAATAGAACTAATGATAGTAACCTATATGTGTCATAAAAATTTGAAATTATTCAAGAGAGTTAAAGTACCTCAAGTGAAATTTTATTGGAAAACATATATATAATGTGGTTGAAGTAAAGTAAGAAACATGACAATCTACCTTGTCTTGAAATATTGTATAAAATAAACTATTGACATTTGTATTTTTTAGTTTTGGAATATTTTAGCGTTAGATGGTAGTAATTGGCAGCGTGTGGATTTATTTGATTTTCAGAAGGATGTTGAGGTTAGAAATATATATCTTTCTTTATATATCTACAAAAATCATGTTTTAATTTTTTCAATTTGTTATCAATTCAATAAGATCACCTAACACCTAATAAACTGAGATTATGATAAATGTGGCCTGTGAACACTATAGATGTAACAATTTATGTCAGAATTTTGCGTGAAGGTAAATATCCACAATCCATACATATTGCGATATACTTACAAATTATTGAGTTGACAAAGACATTCATAAGACATTTTCTTTTGATTCTATTTTAATTTTGCTATCAATGACAATAATGTAGTCTGATTCCCAAATGGCTTGACGAAAAAAACTTTTATATTGGATTGTCTCATAAATTTTTGATTTTAAAGCATTATGAAAATGTATGTAAGTCTCAATGGGTGAATGATATTTTAATCTAATTGAGTGCAATGTCTTCACATGAAGACTTTATATTTTATAGCTAGGATTTGAATGATGTGTTATGGTGTCAATCACTGTCATGCATTGCTCTGAGCTCATATTTCATTTCCATTTCTTTTCATTTAGAATTAACATACAGAAATTGGAATGATCCAAATCACATACACTTTATCAATATACCAAAATACAATGCCAGTTATTATTTATGTTTTACAGTTATTTCATTCATGATCTGAAATTATTTTTCTGTCATGCTGTTTTTTACTGGATAAAGAGTAACAGTCTATGTTTTGTTAACGATGATTATGTTATTTTCTAGGGACCGGTTGTAGTAAATATATCAGAGAGATGTGGTGGATTTTTAAAATCGTTAAGTTTGCGTGGATGTCAGTCTATAACAGATAAAGCATTACAGTAAGTTCTTTTTCTATGTGAACTTTTTTCAGATCTGGTGTAATTCATTTTCAAGTTTGATAGAGTTATGGTGTTCAGATGGTAAATGACTAATTTTTCTCATCATTGAAAATTTTGATCATCTCACCATTTCTATGTTCAAAAGTCTGATCATCTCATCATTCTTTATTCAAAGTCTGATCATCTCATCATTCAAAAGTCTGATCATCTCATCATTCAAAAGTCTGATCATTTCATTATTCAAAGCTCTGATCATTTCATTATTCAAAAATTAGGATCATCACATTATTCAAAAATTAGGATCATTTCATTATTCAAAGGGTTGATCATTTCATTATTCAAAAGTCTGATCATTTCATTATTCAATAGTCTGATCATCTCAATTCAATAGTCTGATCGTCTCATAATTCAAAAGTCTGATCATTTCATTATTCAAAACTCTGATCGTCTCATAATTCAAAAGTCTGATTATTTCATCATTCAATAGTCTCATCATTTCATTATTCATAATCTAAAGGATATGGTTGTTTAGAGGTATGGCTACTGACCAGCTTGTTGACTGGATCCATGTTGATTAATCCACTAAACATCTCAAATTTATATTCTTTTATTGTCTGATTACATGTTCTATATTCTTTTTTTCAGAATTTTTGCTAATTCTTGTAAAAATATTGAAGTACTTAATTTAAATAATTGTAAGAAGATAACTGATATGTAAGTATGTAATAATCATATCAATGTAAAATTATAAGAAATGTGGCCTCCCACAAGGAGATGTAGGAGGTGTAGAATTGTTTGCATATGGTGTTCTTTCCTAAATAACTTAGAGGTTATATAACAGAGAATTCTCTAAAATTTTCACAATATAATTGATTTCAGAACGTGTGAAAGTTTAGGTAAAAATAGTAAGAAATTGTTAAAGTTGAATATTAGTTCCTGTTCAGAGATAACTGACAATTCTTTAAAAGCTGTAAGGTAAGATTTACCCTGATGTTTACATACACATTCTTTTACTTCAGAACTTTGAGCTGGGCTTAACCATATCAAATGCTAAGAAATCTTGACAATCACCTTAATGATGCAGGCTCACGAGCGGACTTCTTTGGAGATTTTTGTCTCCAATTACAGTCTTGAATAGAATCTCGCTTGTGCCCATGCCTCCACCACATGATTATTCCGTCCCCAACAGGATTTATAATAGCTTTAATTAACAAACTTTATGGTCAAACAAAAAATGGTCAATCCGCGTTCTGGAGGTGCATTTCTATTAAAATCTATGGACTTGGTGTACTTTCATTTTTATTGTGACTGAGATGCTTGTCTTAGACATTCTCGATTCCATGTTGATCTCTACAATGATTATTGGGACAATGGTGCCCACCGTACGATATCGGAAGCTTCCTTCATGCTTATCCATGCTTTTGTCCATCTTAACATCCTCTGTGTTTATTTTCTGTTGCTGTAACAGCTAAGTAAGAACTTCTTTCTGGTGTGATGGGGCTATAATGAATCAATCTAATTGTGATCTATGTATGATATGACTATTGTAGCGATGGGTGTAAGTTATTAGAGTCTCTAGATATATCATGGTGTAGTAAATTATCAGATAATGGTTTGGAAGCTTTAGCTCATGGCTGTCCTAAATTATCATCATTTATTTGTCAAGGTTGTAATCAGGTGAGTTTTTTCTATTTTTTGGTTTTCATTTTTTATATTTCAGATTTTATTTAGATAAATTTGTCCACTTGTACTTTTGATGGATTCTTTACCTTTAAATAAAATGGTGTTTAACGTACTAATTTTCTGCACCTGTTTTGGCAAACAATCTGCAGTGTGCAATAAATGTGATTCAGTCTTAACTGATAGTTGAAATTGTTTTTCAGATAACTGATGTTGGTATTATTGCTTTGGCTGAAAATTGTGTTAATTTAAACAGATTAAAGTTATTTGGATGTGAGGTAAAATTTTAATTTCCAGATTGAATTAGATTTTTTTTAAGACAAAATAGAATTTTAAATTTTAAGATTTTCAAAACTTCCATTGACTCTTAACATTTTACACTCTTGGTACTCCCAGTGTAGACTTTCTCTCTATTGATATTAATGAAAAACCAAGAATGATTTTACAATGTTATAGAAATTGATAAATCAGTATAATAAAGGAAATGGATTTTAACACAATTCTTTTTCATACTTTTCCAAATATATCAATCATTCAGAGAGTATTTGTATGCTCAAATAAATCCCCTCAAACTCTTGAGTGTAAACAAAATTGCAAGTCATATAACTTAAAATGTATGTATGTGCATGCTGCTTTAGTAATATCACATATTTATTTTACCAATTGAGTGGTCACTTGTTTTGATATGATTAAAATTAAATTTGACATTGTTTCTCTTGCCAGAGATTGCTATTGTCTCTTTCTACCCAGTAACAGTCCATGCTATAATTTATGTGTTTCAGCAATTAACAGATGATTGTATTCATGAAATAGGACGGAAATGTCATAATTTATTTTATCTGTGTGTATCAAATTGTCCTAGATTAACAGATGCCTCACTTATATCATTAGGAAACTGTTCAGAGTTGGGGTAAATTACATTTTGATTTCTTTCTTAAAACAGCAATTTTGAAAAAAATATTTGAATATCATTTCTTTTTTTTCAATTTTATGGAATAACTTTATTGCATTAAGCATTTTTAAGTATAACATAGCAATAAAAAGTTAAACTCTTATCCAAACTTAAATAACAATGATATTTCATTTTAATTACCTTTAACTTTAAAATATTTATAGTGTATTAGAAGTTGCTGGATGTAACCATTTAACAGACAATGGTTTTCAAACATTAGCCAGAGTAAGTCACTTATTTATTTATACAAATTAATCTATAATGGCTACAAATTCATTACAAAACTAGTGAAATGAGTAATTTGTGTTGTCAAGTAATAAATCAGCAATATTAGTTGTCAAGAGAAGAATATTTAGTAGGCAATATGAGTTGTCAAGAGAAGTATATTAAATAAGCAATATGAGTTGCCATGAGAAGAATATTAAAAAAGCAATATGAGTTGTCAAGAGAAGAATATTAAATAAGCAATATGAGTTGTCAAGAGAAGAATATTAAGTAAGCAATATGAGTTGTCAAGAGAAGAATATTAAATAAGCAATATGAGTTGTCATGAGAAGAATATTAAAAAAGCAATATGAGGTGTCAAGAGAAGAATATGAAATAAGCAATATGAGTTGTCAAGAGAAGAATATTGAAATGAGCAGTATGAGTTGTCAAGTGAAGAATATTGAAATGAACAATATGTGTTGTCAAGAGAAGAATATTAAATGAGCAATATGAGTTGTCAAGTGAAGAATATTGAAATGAACAATATGTGATGTCAAGAGAAGAATATTAAATGAGCAATATGAGTTGTCAAGAGAAGAATATTAAATGAGCAATATGAGTTGTCGAGATGAACAATATGAGTTGTCAAGTGAAGAATATCGAAATGATCAATGTGTGTTGTCGAGATGAACAATATGAGTTGTCAAGTGAAAAATATTGAAATGATCAATATTGAAATGAACAATATGTGTTGTCAAGATGAACAATATGAGTTGTCAAGAGAAGAACATTGAAATGAACAATATGTGTTGTCAAGATGAACAATATGAGTTGTCAAGAGAAGAATAATGAAATGAACAATATGTGTTGTCAAGATGAACAATATGAGTTGTCAAGTGAAGAATATTTAAACAAGCAATATGGTCTCTAATAACTATTTTTGCATGTCTTTACTATTGCTTTATTAAGATGATACTGGCATTTTTGCTGCTATATGTTTAGAGTGTACAACAAAGCTGATTGATAATTATTTATGTTTTATAGACATGTAATAAATTAGAGAAGATGGATTTAGAAGAGTGTATACAGGTAGTTAAGAGTTTTCATCATGTTCTACTGTCTCATATCTGGCTTCTTAAAGCACAATTAAATACTGCATTGTGATATCCTTTGAATTAAAACCTGAAATGTTTTAATAGATGGGCTGCAGTGTGTAATAAGGGAAATCTGTGATCTGCTTCCTATCCTTGGCCAACAAAAGATTAGTGTGAAATTCCAAACTATTGCAACATAATGTATATGATAAATTGATGTTTTTGACACTATTTCAGATAACTGACGCAACACTAGCTCATTTAGCAACGTATTGTACCAAATTATCAGCCCTTGTAAGTCTTAAGTTTCAGTAGGTCTTAACTTTAAGTATAGCCCTGAATATACCAAAATGTGGAACATAGAAGTTTTTATAATCGGTGGCTAATCTCCATAAATGTTTATGAACTATCTTGCTAACACTCCTATTAGTGTTATTGCTTGTGTATCATGATATTATGATAAATCATCTGTAAATATGACAACAACTGCAGGCCTGTTTCACTTCTGAAAAAGTTTTAAAACTTTAGCATCTTGGACTTACTTTCCATAAATTTCCATGTGTAATTACAGCATATAGCTTTTGATATACATGTATTGATAATTTGTAATTATTGTATAATTTTGTAGAGTCTTTCTCATTGTGAATTAATAACAGATGAAGGCATTCGTCATATTGGATCTGGACCTTGTGCTACAGAATATTTACAAGTTTTAGAATTAGACAATTGTCCTTTAATAACTGACGCATCATTAGAACATTTAATGGGATGTCAAGGTTTAGAACGTATAGAGTTATATGATTGTCAGTTAATAACTAGAGCTGGTATACGGAGATTACGTGTAAGTTTATTTTTCTTATTTCACAAACTCATAGTCTATTATGATGTATTATAATAGTGCTCAATACATCAATTGTAGATCGATATATATAAAATTTGAAATTGAGTGAGGGGCTGTTTAGATTAAGTTAGCCACTGAATAAGTAGTATCATATTGGAAATAATGTAAGTCAACCATTTCATTTATTGATTATAATCATTTCATCTTTACAGACACATTTACCAGATATTCGAGTCCATGCTTATTTTGCTCCAGTCACCCCTCCACCATCAGTAGGGGGTGGAAGACAGAGATATTGTAAATGTTGTGCCATACTTTGACGGGAAACATAATCAGGGGTAATAACTCTGTTTTAATTCCACATTGCTTCAGTCATTCTCAAAAGTGGTAAATCAAATTTACCGTCATATACTGGACCAAACATGGCATATCCATTTGTGCTTTCTATATCATACAGATGACTTGTAGTGGAGTGACGATATAAAACTATAAAAAGTATTTTAAACGTGGAGGTGATGTGTATATGGTTTTAAACAACTGATACAAGATTTTATATTAAACATTGTGATGTTATATCATTGCTTGTGAACAATCATTTAAAGCCATTTAATTCTTTCATATCAATTTTGTGATTTGGAGATTAGAATAGTACCAGCATTTTGGAGTGAAATACACCTTGTGACGAAAATATACCTTACTGTGATACAAAAAACTCAAACTTGACTCTTTATCAGACTCAAACTTGGAGACAATCAGAAAGTTAACAAGCTGGAGCTATTTTAGATATATTTTGGAGATTGTTTTTAATTCTGATTACTACTATCTGTACTGTCTTCTATAATTGTTGTATATAGATGTATATAGAGAAAGAGATAGATGTAAAACTGATATACAATATAAATCATATGACTGTTATGAGACTAGTTCAGGTATGAATTTATAATGTAGATATCATTTAACTTGGTAAAGTTAAGATCAGTGCCCTTAATCTTAATTACTTAAGAAACTTGAATTAAACTTTCTTTTTTTATTCTTGGAAGCCTGAAAGATTTTTCGTTGTTTTGATATTAGGTGATTTGTTTCAAAAATTACAGAAAATTGTAGAAATACATGTAAAAACGCCTAAAAAATATTATAAGTTACAAAGCAGTGTTTGACCATCTTTAGCATTTTGTATGACTCACAAACAATTATGATTAAAATTAATTTTAGGCTATTTACCATGCCAAAATAAACTTAAAACATTGTGACCTTTTAATGAATGCTGCAAGTAACACATTGACCAGTTATGTTAAGTCATGTATTTATGGAATCAGTATCTTTTAAAAACTTTCCACTGCAGTTTACTAGGATTCTTGAGTTCTAGAGATAAGTTGATCACAATGTTTCCAAAGACAAACAGAATTTTGATTCCATACACACAAATTTTGTGAATCTACCAAGTGGACTCTCTCCCCTATTTTCTTTGACATGAAATTCTTGTTGATTCCATCCTTGAAACTCTCAACCACTTTGTATAATGAATGTGTCAAATTTGGTCTGTACAAGAAAATAGTGGTCATAGACCTAGGTATATATGTAAGTAATAAAAGGCCTATTCCAGACACAGCAGACTTAATAAATAATTAAATGGCCTCTCATATATATTGATTTATATGATTGTCATTATTATCTTTAAATAACGGCCTGAAAGCTCTTTTATGTTGTAAACCTAATTTATTGTGCTATTTATTATAGTGAGATGGTACAAATAAACAGTTAGTAATCAAACTTTGTGTATAAACCCACTGGATGGTTAAATATTGTCTCAAAATGACTGTATCAAGAAAATAATTCAGTGCAATGATCTGTTTTATTTTGTATTGTCAATATAGTACCATTTATTATTCTGTGTTAAAAAATACAAACTGATGAAATACAATGATACACATGTTTGTACATACATACATATATTATGATATATAGCAAATAGAGTTGTTCTCAAGCAGTTGACCATCAATTTGTAAATGAAAATGTTATTAATCCGGTGTACATTAACTTACATTTTGATATATCAATTTGTTCTCAACAGTCTACTACCTGAGAATGACCCTATAAGCTTAAGAACAGGTCATACCTTAAGATTAAGATTAAGATTATGGTGGCAGACACTTTAGTTAGTGGAAATAAAAAGTCAGACTTGAGATACTAATGCTGTGGGCACACGACCCATCTTTGTGGCAGATTTTGTCACTGACACAAATCTTAAGTAAAATCTGAAGAAAGAGTGTCATCATCCAATCAGATTCATTTTCCTTCAATTGCATGATCCTCATGTGATTATTGACTTAGTGTAAAACAACCAACTTGATTTTTTTATCTTCTCATGTTCCCCCAGTGGGTTGGTGAAATTCTTGACAAGATGGTTTGTGTGTTTTGGCATAAGTTATCTTACATGATAGAGACTAATATGGTAATCACATACATACGTCTTGGTACCAATATATTATGAAAAATAACAGGTGTCTAAAACCATCTACCATAGCTAACTCATTGTGACTAATATTTGTTAATATACAGATTAATGTGTTATATTTAAACTCTCATATACAGCTTCATGTAATTTCTTATAATGACTTGTTATTTTTATATGCCTACATCAATATATATTATCTAGTAAACCAGGACATGGGCAGACACATTCGCTTTGCTTGGCTTCAGTTTTTCAGATGTTTAAACTATTATTGCATTCTTCTTTGTCGTTAGAATTCTGTGCTTTTTGTATTGACATGGTTTTATTTTGAGAATTATTTAGGATTTTATAATTATCTTCCCAACACAATCCACATTGATTTGCTAGACAGAAGATATTTTGTACTATTTGTACCACTACTTTTAGATTTGATGATGTTTTGGGCTCAGGCGCCTTCAAAGTAATTTTTGACTATTTGATTATAGCAAATTTTATTTTATTGGTCAGGTTAACTAGCACTGTTTTCATTCAGTTACTGTGGTTTGTTTAAACTTTTTAAAATAAAAGTTATGAGGTTAGATGAACTAACTGAATGACATGTATTCATGTATTATGAGTACAAGGGGGTACAAATAGTTCATATACCACATTTCATTGCTGTGGCATTCTCCTTCTGAGTCATTCTACAGCAATGAAACTCTGTATATATTAAATGGATTCTAAAGAGGTTTTTTTTTATGTGTATCGCAGACAATGATAGCATAAATTTGCACCTTCAATCAGAGATCTGTGGTTCCACTAAAACTAATTGTTTGATGCGTCACTAATTGCATTTTATCTCTTAAGGCCCTTCACGATTAGTGAAGAAATCCAAAGGAATTGTTTCTTTTCAGATCAACTGACACTGACTGAGGGATTCAAGACTTTAAAAAGTAGAACCAGAAACATTACCTTTGGCTTTAGAGGGTTATTTCCACTGCATCGACTGCCATTTGGTCTTGGGCACGAAGTAGTAACCCGACACTTGAGTGGGGAATGTTCAAGGAAACTGGCTAGGTCTGGTTTTCAAGTGTCAAGTTTTCCTTCGACATGACCAGTCTGGTGTTTTGATCAAGGAAGTTAAGGGCAGTGTCTCTGGTTCTACTTTGACTCACTTAATCAGCATCAGTTGATCTGTAAAGAGACAGTATCAGAAAACGCCAAATTTAATGTATATCAATTCTATTACTGTGGCATAACTCCTTCTGTGTCAACCTACGAAGGTTCCAGCACCCGCTCGTGTATGTACAACCCTTAAGTTATAAATTCCTCCAACTCTGCACTGATATATTTGACAAAGCAAACAGCGTGAACTATAGGAGAGATCAAATGAGCAGACCTCCAAATAACAATATTAGACAGTTTCTTGATTTGATTCAGTTTTGTATAGTGTATTATAAATGCTGTTCATTTTGTTTTTTTTGCTTTCTTTTAATTTATTAGATATTTAACTGTGATAGATATTTCTTGATATTATTTTATTCATTCTTCTTCACTTTATTCTTTTTGCAAGACTCAACTAAGAATATAGAATAACTTAACAGACATTAAAGCTCAAGCAGAATTCATTTATACATGCAAGCCTGTTAATTCAGGCAAATTCATAACTTAATTGACTGGTCCTTATTTACAATGATATAGTCTTTGTTCATCAGTCGACTTAACTATAATCCAATGAATCGATTAAAATAAGTAATATGGCCTTATATAGAGATTCTATTCTTTAGTCATAGCTCCTGTTAAATCTAACTAATGAATATAGTCTTATTGACCAAGTTTGACTTTAAATTTTATGTTAGAGATAGTATCCTTCCAGTTAAGATCAAGTATGAATTCTGTGGGTGCATATGATTCAAGAAATATGAAAATGATTTTACTGCTTGTCAATGATTGACTCAATTTTATTTGATCCTTCAGAACTAATTGAAATGAGATCCTACAAGGTGTATTCATGTTTTGGTTTAAGCAGTATATTTAATACAAGCAATGCAGACTATGCCTGTCTTCGGCTTGTATTATATACTTAAGTTGTGTGCTTAGCTTCAAATGTGTGCTAATGCACATTAATGATTATATTAGCTTTATGTCATAACTTCTATTCATTACTAACTACATGGGATATTGTCGTCAAATTATTTGCTTTATTTGCTCACTTTTCAAAAGTGAAATCTTCAACCAGATTTCCTAACCATACCATTAAAACAAGAAAATTTAGAAAGACCCTATGAATGTTTTTGTACAATAGCAAGGAAAGGGATATCAAATTTTCATTCAGTTTAACAGTAACTGGGCCTTATCTGCTGATAAACCAATATTTTGACGAGAATATACCTTGAAAGCTTATGTTTACACTTGTATATTATTGTTAGAGATTTATACCCACTATTGTATAAAGAATTTTAAATAGGAATTTTGTTTATGTACAATTTAGTACTTTGAATGTTGCACCAATTTTCAGCTATCAATCTGTGCTGAAATCCAATTGTGACCTTAATGCTTTAAGAACCAAATGAACGGCTTCATTCTTGTCAGTGCCACTCTTTATGGAAATTTGTTGTACAATGACATGTTCAAATCATTTCTGCCAAATTAAATGTTAACCTCTTTACTGTGTTTTCCATGGTTACAATAACATTAATACTTATCATTATCTATATTGTACATTCTTTCTTCGTGTGCTAGGTATAGTCAATCATGCTACGTTACAATACAAATTAACATTTTATCTTCAGTTTCAATATATATTAATTTATAACTTTATAACTGTGATATTTGGTAATGTAGTTGATACTAGTGGTTAACTTTCAACTGTCCTATAAATAGTTTCTAACAATTTCAATTAAGTCAGTTGGGATTCATTCAGCAACTTAAAAATCAAAACTTTACATGTGGAATGAGATGTATCATCAAGTACGATATAAGTACACATTACGATATGTATATTGTGACAAGTCATGGATCTACATCAGTGATCATTACAAAACATACACAAGTAAAAGTATTGTTTATAGCCTATATTTTCAACCCTTTCTGACTCCTACAAGCAACCTGATGTAAAAGGGCCCTTTTTGAATATCCTTTAGATGATGGAGAACCGATAACTAAATGGAAGCTTTAAAGGAACAGATGCGCTATTTTGGGGGTGCTGATTTTAATCTTGAAGATATGTAAAAAGTCTTCACAATTACTAGAAATGTACGAAAATCGCATAATTCCTTTAAAAATACTTCAAACTTGGAATTGTACTCACTTTTCCTAAAGTATGATTTTTTTTGGTCAAAAAAATGGCACATCTGTCCCTTTAAAGTGGGAAATTAATGGCATGGTCAACACTCAGCCAAGGTGTCATTATAGCAAATTCCTTTTTGTCTGTAAATTATTTTGGGATGCTTCTCTTGTAGTGTACTCGCTGAGGTGTTCAATGGTATCATCAGGTGAGACCAGAATCTAAGGTTCTCTTTCCAAACTAACATAACTATATGGTTGACTATAAAAGCAGCTATCAACTTTTCATGGACAAGGGTAAAGAATAATATATAATATATTTGTATTAAGTCTTTTATTAATACATCTATTCAGTTCTTTTTTTTTTTAAAAAAAGATCAACAACAAAACATATTGTACAAAACAATAGTGCCAAATTTTACATTTATTTCTACATAAAATAAAAGCCTATTGATATTTGCAATTGAGGTGTTCTGAAATCTGACATTTATTTTTAAGATATTGTCCAGAATCAACCACTTCAGTATGTAGTTGACATTACTGAAATTTTTAAAAGGTTTTTGTGGAAGAGCTATCCTTTATCACGTGACCACTTCTAAATTGTTTAAATTTAGGTATGCTTGTCTATACTGTTAAAGAGTAAAATAGTCTGATGTTCTGTCATAAAAGATATTTGAATAAATCATCATATAATTCTAAAACATGATATTTATTTAAAAACACAAAAGAAGCACATACGATGTTTTCACTTAGATCACCTTACATTTAGTTCAGACAGTTTTGCATATTGGTAGAAATTTTTGAAACTTAAAGATTATTCCCAGATACAATTTAGTGCATACACAAATTTAAAAAAAATTGTCATACTTTATATATGGCAAATAAATAAGCAATAACATGAAATAAAGACTAAATATATCTTTAAAATTGGCTTCCAAGTAGTTCAAGAAAATAAATTGCTCAGATTCAAAAGCAAACAAAACCTACACCAATGTACTCAAATAAAAAAAGGGGTTGAATATCTATACGTTTGATGCAAAATGATAGTCTTGTTTGTACCAAGACACTAACACTGCTTCAATTATCCAAAAATGACTCAGAATATGAGGTAAATTCGTTAAATTGAAGTGCTGTACACTGAAAATGCGAAATTTTGTCAGAGATAACAATTTAAACATCAAACAAAATTTCAGCTCTGTTTTAGATTTTATTGTTTAATATTTTCAGATAGTCCAAAAAATAGTTAAAATATTCCATGTTAAAATCAACAATAAACTTATTCAGGTTCACTTGAAAGAATCCGGTATTTTACCTTTCAGAATGTCTTCAATTTCCTTTTTATCTAAGGTTTCATATTTCATAAGACTTTGTGCTAAGACTTCAAGCTCATTTGAATGACTTTCAATGATTTTTTTTGCTCTTTGATACGCTGCCTGAAGTAGAGAAATATTGAAATAAAAGGATTAAATAAGAATGGTTTAAATGTAACATTCAATGATGCTATCATCTAGGGTAGATAAAATCTAACGCAATCAGACACACAGATTCAAGTAATGTTCAAAACAAAGCTGTATGTTCACAAAATCACATCTTTCTTTCTTATTCTCATGGTCCACTTAGTTAAACGAATTTATTCAAAAAAAGCCTTTGACAAGTGGTATAGCTTAGATTTGTCAGCAGGAGTACAGAAGCCTAGGAACCTTAATGACCAGCTCAACTCTGATGACATCTGTTTTGTATACACCTTCCTCATCAGTTCAGTGAAATGAGTATTATCTTTCCAGTGACTTTAAGCAAGTTAGCGAACAAGATAGAAGTCAAAAACAAAAAAAAATAAAGTAAGAAGACACTTGATTCATATATAATTGACTTGACATCCCATGTCGGTTTAATTAGAATTAGACCAAACTTTCATTCCTCTCAAACTTTCTTTCTGTTTTTTTTTTTATGAGCTTTCATTTTTAATACAGCCACTTCAGTTTGGGTCCAACAACAGCCCTCTTGAATGTTTGTCAAATTAACTTAATAAACACCGCATCACAAAACGCCAGCGCTGGAGAAGGCAGAAATTTGATTGGTTAAAGTCATCGAGAACAAAAGGTTAATTTGACATTTTAAGAAGGCTGTTGTTAGACCCCAACTGAAGTGGCTACATTAAAAATAAAAGATAATGAAAAAAAGAAACGAAAGTTGGTCTAATTTGAATTAGACTGATCTCATGTAGGTATATTTTCAGTCATTTTACTTGCCTTTAACACCACTTCAATTTCTTTATCTACTATGTCTTTCATGTTAGGACTTGCTGACTTCATATTGATATTCCTTGGACCAAGCTAGAATGACAATATCAAACAAATCCATTCAAAGAGGCAAAATCAAAATTAAATGAGAAAACTCTTTAAACCTTGAAAAAGTATTCAATACAGGAAATAAAGATGGTGATTATGAAAGATTCTAAAAGATAATAAGCTACAAAAATGAAAAAGTTTTGTAGAAGTTTTGTTAATATGGAATATACAAACCTTATCATTGAACCCAAACTTTGTTACCATATTTGTTGCCACAGCAGTTGCTAACTGTATATCTGAAGAAGCCCCTGTAATACAAGTGTAAGCAAATTCATTAAATTTTCATAGGACATGAGTCAGTCGCTTTAAGTATTGTTTTTGAAAGTTTCTTTAGCTTAATTTCTATGTATTATATTATTTTAACTTTTATATCTATTAGATATGCATTACTTTACAGATACATTTTTTTTCAGATACAATTTTATTTCTAACGTATTACAGATATATTAAACTACAGATGAATTTTTACTTTTTATATCTATTACAAATGCTTTATCATAAATAAAGAACTATATATACAGATACATAACAGATACTTGCAATTAATCATAAATATATCTAATACATATACATATTACATCATAAATATATCATTTACAGATACATCATAAATATATTTAAGACAGATACATAATAAATATGTCTAATACAGATACTATATCTAATACAGATACATCATAAATATATCTACTACAGATACATCATAAATATATCTATTACAGATACATCATAAATATATTTAATACAGAAACATAATAAATATGTCTACTACAGATACATCATAAATATATCTAATGAGGATACATAATAAATATGTCTACTACAGATACATCATAAATATATCTAATACAGATACATCATAAATATATCTAATACAGATACATCATAAATATATCTAATACAAATATATCAAAAATATATCTAATGAAGATACATAATAAATATAGCAATGAAATATATCAATGAAGTTACTATACCTGTAGAAATATTTTGCTTCCCATAAATAAGTTCTTCTGCAACCTGACCACCCATACTGACATCAATCTGGGCCATCAATTGGGATTTAGAAAATCCATATTCATCTTCTTCAGGTAACAGACTTGTCTAAAAAGTAGGATTGTTATTGATGTTGAAGTGGTTTATATACATATAACAAGGGTCCGGTAATACTAAAGAGTAACTACAGACTTTTTGATACAAGAAATCAATTAGTCAATAAATTTCACCATTGCAGATGAGTGGATATTATAGTAGGTGAAGGCTAGATACAACAATGGTTGAGGTACATTTTGTCATTCAAGGCTATAACTCTTTCTCTAATATCATTGTATAACGTTAAAATTCTAATTTATTTCAATGGCAAAGTTTGTAAAGCAAATCTCAAAGAGTGATGTGGTCACAAGATTACAATAGTTACTATGAATTTTTTCTACTCACATGACCAAGGGAACTTCCTCGAGGCAGAATGGTGACTTTATAGACTTGATTAGCTTCTTCAGTAAAAAAAGCTACTATTGCGTGTCCAGCTTCGTGGTAGGCTGTTTGTAAATTGACTTTTCTATCAGGTATCTTGGACTTTTTAGCTGGTCCTACAAATCAAACATTGGAGGTAAAAAACATTATTGGTCATTATTGGAAAAAGACACTTTGTCAAGACAACAGATAATATGGAATGACAAAAAAAATAGGTTTTCATTTCATTTCACAAGAGAATGCTCAAGAAGAAATGACTTTAAACTTAACCCGGTCGAAAAATAGCAGGAACTTCAAATATTGGTATTCTTTGTTGACAAAGAGCTTGGAATTGGAATACAAAGATATTTTAAGACCGCTTTCACCTCTTCATCCACTTACTTGTAAATACTGCTTAAACTTCTCCACTTTTGTGAGTTTCCGATTTGCGAGAAAGTCATAAACACTAATTACACATACTATGTCATTTTTCATTAGAGCTGGGTATCGGTTACCAAATTGGGATGAATTATTGAATTCAAAATATGCCAAATTTCTCAATTTCATGAGTTATTTTTGTGTCATAGAAGTCTATTCTTGCTTTGATATCGTTATTATAGTTCATTGTGGGTAAATGATGTGCTAGAGGGAATGTATGTGGAAGAGATTACTACAGGTACAGTATAATCAAAATTATAAATTCCTAGTGATGATAATAATCAAAATTATAAAAATTATAAATTCCTAGAGATGATAATAATCAAAATTATAAATTCCTAGTGATGATAATAATCAAAATTATAAATTCCTAGTGATGATAATAATCAAAATTATAAATTCCTAGTGATGATAATAATCAAAATTATAAAAATTATAAATTCCTAGAGATGATAATAATCAAAATTATAAAAATTATAAATTCCTAGTGATGATAATAATCAAAATTATAAAAATTATAAATTCCTAGAGATGATAATAATCAAAATTATAAAAATTATAAATTCCTAGTGATGATAATAATCAAAATTATAAATTCCTAGTGATGATAATAATCAAAATTATAAAAATTATAAATTCCTAGTGATGATAATAATCAACATTATAAAAATTATAAATTCCTAGTGATGATAATAATCAAAATTATAAATTCCTAGAGATGATAATAATCAAAATTATAAATTCCTAGTGATGATAATAATCAAAATTATAAATTCCTAGTGATGATAATAATCAAAATTATAAAAATTATAAATTCCTAGTGATGATAATAATCAAAATTATAAAAATTATAAATTCCTAGAGATGATAATAATCAAAATTATAAAAATTATAAATTCCTAGTGATGATAATAATCAAAATTATAAAAATTATAAATTCCTAGTGATGATAATAATCAAAATTATAAAAATTATAAATTCCTAGAGATGATAATAATCAAAATTATAAAAATCATAAATTCCTAGTGATGATAATAATCAAAATTATAAATTCCTAGTGATGATAATAATCAAAATTATAAAAATTATAAATTCCTAGTGATGATAATAATCAAAATTATAAAAATTATAAATTCCTAGTGATGATAATAATCAAAATTATAAAAATTATAAATTCCTAGTGATGATAATAATCAACATTATAAAAATTATAAATTCCTAGTGATGATAATAATCAAAATTATAAAAATTATAAATTCCTAGAGATGATAATAATTAAAATTATAAAAATTATAAATTCCTAGTGATGATAATAATCAAAATTATAAAAATTATAAATTCCTAGTGATGATAATAATCAAAATTATAAAAATTATAAATTCTTAGAGATGATAATAATCAAAATTATAAAAATTATAAATTCCTAGTGATGATAATAATCAAAATTATAAATTCCTAGAGATGATAATAATCAAAATTATAAATTCCTAGTGATGATAATAATCAAAATTATAAATTCCTAGTAGTAGATAGTACTAGAAGATTATTTGGATCATGTTACCCAGCCCTAATTACAATAACAAACTTACCCATGCTAACTTTATCAAAAGCGAAGTCTAAATGTGATCTCTGTACTGTTTGACAGCCCTCAACTGTAGCTTGTAGTGCTGCTTGATTCACCAAATTAGATATATCTGCACCTGTCATGTCCAATTGTACATCATTAGTTGGTGGCAAACTATTAAAACTTCTCACAAGTGTGACAGTCTTAAAATCAGTTCAAATGTAGACAAACAGTATATTGTGAGATATTTTTATGAAACAGAGGGTCTGAAAGTATGGAAAATTACATATCAAGAATAAAACTTTCAAAAACAATTTTTGAAAGTACTTGTCTGAGATCAAAGCACAGACTTATCAAGATCAGATATTTTAGTTTATATTTTATGATACATACCAGTTAAACCAATGGTTAAACTTGCTAAACTTCTGACATCTAATGCTGTAATATCAATAGAAAGCTATTAATTTTCTTAGGGTAATAATAGTTGTTTGGTCATAAAAAAATAACCAATATCAGCAACCATTACATTCATGGAAAAACTCCAATAGATCCTGGGCATCATGAGGCCCTCCAAATAAACATATTATTGTCATCATATTTCTTACATTAAATGATACTAATACATCCTCAATGATTTTCTCCTTCAAACAAAAGAAATACCATAAAAAAGAAAGTTGAAATATATAAGAACTTAAAGGGATTGTAAAGAGGTTTTCTAGTCTTTAAAAGTGTATCAGGAACACCTTTGACTTCTATTTGGGATCTTCCAATTCTTCATTAAACGCCTGTGGATCCTGCAATTCCAGAAAGAGTTAACTGGAGACGATATTGCTCCAAAAAGTGAATATTAATAATATATGTTATCTCCCCTTACAAGATGGCGGCATTTCTATCTAAATTTCTTAGTTAGTCTACTGAATCCAGAAGACCAACTTGATTTACCTCACTGTATTCAAAACTGGTCATTTTATCAAAAGTGTCTCCAATACACATAAAAAGGCTACAAACTACACAGCCAACATTGTTATATGGATGTTAACGGTGATAATCAGTCCTATTAACAATCCTGTTGCAACTTACATTTGTCAGTTTTCACTTTAGCTAAATAATATCCTAATAATTCTTCACGTCCTTTTAAATCTGGTTTGTTGATATGAACTGTTACATCAAATCTTCCTGCTCTAGTTACAGCACTATTAAACAAAAATATAAACATACTGAATGTACATCATCAGAAAATTTAATTTCAATTTCCTAAATCATTTTTCAGAATGACAATTAGAAATAGAGTCTGCTTACAATCAAATAACAATGACACCCAACAGTAATCAAAGTTTAAAATAATCACAGCCTTTCAAAGTCTGTTTCAACAATTAAATTCCATGTGGTATTCCTAGTTAACTGTTAGGTGAAGCTGACATTTGAGAAATATTTTACATTGAGTTTGGATAATTAAGAAGCAATGGAACAGCGTATATAGAAACTATGTGTCTTGATGTACATTTCCTAACAATCCCTAAAATTGTGTTTACAGTTGATAATCATATTTAGACATTTAACTTATAATGACATTCTACTTACGAATCTAGATTCTCTAGTTTATTGGTAGCTCCTATCACAATAATACCTCTATTTTCTGTAAATCTTAAATAAATAAAAAATAAACCCATACCTCAGACAATGGCAGCAGATATCCAACAAAAGTGGACGCATGGATACCAGCAAATGCATGTCAATGAAATAAATTAGCAGACACTTATCAAAAAACTGAAAATCATGAGCTGAATCCAGATCCATTCAAGAATACTTAGCAAATGGCATCTTCACAATGTCAAGCTGTTATAAACTGTGTCTTATACCTTGACTGCAATAACCCTTGACTGCAATAGCCACCTTTCCTGTATCCAAAACTCTGTAAATGTCGCTATTTGATTGTAAACTAGCCAATAAGCCAATCATAGCTAGCCATGCCAGTTAAATTGTTTAAGCTTTTCTGTCAAGGGCTTTGATAGGATGTATTTGCCTGTGTATAAGGTGCAGTTTGTAATAGCTTGACTTTTTGATTAGCAAATTGAAGATCACACATTCTGGGTCAGGTCTGAAATAACTAGACTTAATCTTACCCATCCATTTCTGATAATAATTGATTGACAGTCTGATTTGCATAGGGATGGAAAGATTCACTGGAACGTTTTTTACCAACTGAATCAATTTCATCAAGAAATATCACACATGGTGCATGGCCTTTGGCTTGACCTTAAAACAAAGAAATAAAAAAATCCAGAGGTAACAGTTTAGAAAAATGTCAATACCTTTAAACAACCTAAGCATCATACATTTAACACTATACTTTTCTATTACAGTTTGAGCTACTGAAGATTGACTATTCCATACAGTGTACAATGTGAGAAAACAGTTTGTTATGATATATGACTTAAATCTAAAGTTATAGCTAGTTCTTGTCAAGTTAAATAATTGAAATGTAGAGCTTTAATTTCCAAACCAGCTGTCTTAATTAAGGATATCAAACACAAAACATGTCAACAGAACAAAATAATCAATAATATCGATCCATACCAAATAAATCTCGAATTTTTCGTGCTCCAGAACCAGCAAAGATTTCATCAAATTCTGCTCCGGAAGCTTGGAAATATGGAACTCCTGCTTCACCTGTAAATATAACAAGTGGTTACATAGAGATACGGCCAGGCACAAATTACATAGTAATTTGAAATTTTGGGGAGCAATTTCTTCTGTAATTTGAAAAGACAATAGAAATATGAGTAGAGTAGATACACACCCATTTCCAGCCATTAATTCTAATATTACTTATATTTTGAGATAAAATTATTATAAGAGAGGTGTAAATTATAATATCTAAGTGACATTTAGAAGTAGATAGAACATTACATAAGAAAAAGAGGTCTAAATTGTATGCTACTCTATCTATTAAAATTTTTTTTGAATGACAATAGCAGATTTAATGACCAATGAGGTTGACAGACCCTAGGCCATGACAATATACACCCACATTACAATGTTAGCCAATAAAAATAAATGTACCTGCTACTGCTCTAGCTAGTAATGTTTTGCCAACCCCAGGTGGTCCAACTAGTAACACTCCTGAAACAACCAGAAAATAAGAACCCTAGAAATATTGTTTTTTAAAAGATTAAGGCACAGTTTGTGTGATTTGTCTTAAAATATCTTCAAAGGCTTTGTCAGAAGTTTACCCTTTCGCATGTACAGTATCAATCTATTGTAAAATTGTGATCAGACAGGACGAGAAATACAACATAATCTTCGAACCTGAAACTTGCAATGATTTCTGGATATGGTTAATAAAAAAATTTTATTTTGGAATAGCAGCCTCAAAATAGTACTGTTAGACTAAGAATGTCTTTGAGTTGATAAAAATATAAATATTACCACACATTGTCTTCAAAATTTCGACAATTTTCAGCTAAAACTTTTGGTTGAAATTTCTAGTGTTTCTTTTCAATTTCAACATATAAAAAACTTTTTTAATATTAACAGTACTATTTTCAAGCTGATATTCAAATTCTCTTAAAGTCAAGAACCTTTTTACTTTGATCAGGTAATAGTTTAAGCTAAAAATTCTTTATTATATATTTCTTACCTTTTGGTAATTTAGCTCCCAAACTGGTATATTTATCTGGATCAGATAAATAATCTACTACCTGTTCAAGCTCTTCTTTGGCTTCATCAGACTAAAATATAAAATACACTTTTTTAAATATCATTGAACTAGTCTAGTGAGGTAATTAGGATTATGGGCTTTAAATAGTGCTGGTGCTGATCATGAAATGATACAAATCATATTACTATAAAAGGGCAACAATATCATACGTAATGTAGTTAAGGGGGTAAAATTCACTTGTATGTATCTATTTGATTCTTGGGTAAAACATTATTGTTTTAACTTAGTAAATACACATGGTGTATCAAAATATAGAAAATTTGTAATAATGATAATTTGGTACCGACACAAGAATTATTATTATTCCTGACACTTACCCCTTTGACATCTTTAAATGTAGTCTTCACAAATTCTGGCTGTACCATAAACTTATTGACACCAAACAATTTTTTAAATTCTGGGGATTGAATTGCTGTTATATAGTAAACAACAATTATCAACAAATACAAACAAATATTGTACATTGTGGCAAACTGTCCAAATTTTGCAAACAACTTTTAATTTTGTAAAAGTGTACAGTTGTCATAAACTACTCAGTTTACTACTTTACAGATTTGTTATTAATTTTATTTGAATATTCATTACTAACTAAAAGGGATTTCTATATACATCAAATTGAACAGTGACTTGCGAAATAGCGAACCTCGAATGTTACTTATCCTCATTTGTATACCAGAAAAACTGACAGTGAGCACTATATGTTAAATTTTAGCACAATGACTAGCTATTTTGTGATATTTTATATGTCAACCATATTGCTTTGTTTTCATTTCTATATATAACGTGCAGCATAATCTCGCATCTCTACATGCCTAAACTAGCAATTTGGGATAAAAATGATGTCAAAAGACACTTTGTTCAATTCGCTGGGTACAAAATTCTTATTTATCATTTTTATCTTGGAAATGGATGTTCATCATTTAGTTTACACTTCCTTTAAAGGAGAAATGTAAATATATTGATGAAAGGACAGCTAGATAGACATGGATGACAACATGCATGACTATGATATAATAGAGTTTCTACTTACCAAGACGAAGTTTAGTATAAAGTAGCACACCACTAACTACTATGAATAGTATGACAAAATTCCTTAAGTTCTTTGATTTTTTTCCATTTGTATTGCTTTTAAGCCCACTCATATATCCCTCAGAGAAAGCCACTTTAATTTTATCAGAAAGCTCTTTAGATGTTTTGTCACTTTCAAGTACACTCGGAACTTCAAGAGAACTTTTCTTCATAGCAGGAAACTGAAATGTTTTTGATTGTAAAGAAAGGTCTTATGTGATACAAGCAAATTTTGCGGGGATTAAATCATAAAACACTTATTTTTAGTGGAATTGCGGGAACCACAGACGTCTGATTGAAAATTGAAATGGTGCAAATTGATGCTATAAGTGTTCCCGATAAGCATAAAAATTTAAGAAATCCTCTGTATAATCCATTTAACTCTCTTAAGTCTCAATCTTGGTCTTTCAGAAAATACATTTATCAGTGAACTTGTTTGGTGTCATTTCTAAACAACACTATATGACTAGTAGAAAATATTTAGTGTGGTTCAATGAATATAGGTCACACTACTGTATTTTTGTTTCAATCATTGTTTTTACCTACATGTTGACCAGAAATAGTTATATGACTTACAATTGGATTATTCATATCAAAAATATTTCCTAAAGATATCCTGGAATTGCCTTCTTTAGAACTTCCCACTGCTTCTTTTTCATGTGTTCTTGTTTTAAAACCTCTGGTTTGATTCACCACTACAAAAAAAACACATCAAGTTGGTAACAATGATTTATAGAGAAATACATGTATATGACCCAGTTAAAAAATGGACTGTTTAAATGGGTAGTTGCACCAATCATACCTTAGTCTCAGAAATTCACAATTTGAGCCTTCAAATGCATGTGTGTACAGAATTACCCACGTTTGAATGTTAAAATGATGACTCGCCTTTTTAACTTTTTCTATCATAAATAGAAAAGACATCTATGGAAATAGAACCATAAGTAAGGTATTTTTGAAGGAATTATAAAATTTTCGTACATTTATAGTACTTGCAATGATTATTTACATATATTCAAGACCTAATCAACCCCTGAAAATGGCGCACTTGGTTCTGTAACAGATCGCTTAATGTTGAATGTCACTGAATGACATTAAGAATCTGTGGCATCATAAGCGAAATCAGTTTGTCAACTGTAAAAAGTATAAAATCTGAAGTATTTGGGTGACAATAAATATATTGTCCTTTTGAGTGGGAGGATTGAATCATATTGATTTCATATGAATGCAGCCCTCTCCTCCCCCTCCCTTTATTGTAAGATACTTACATGGTAAACATAAATGTTGGAGAGATTTATCATTCATCAGCTTACTAGCTGCTAATCCATGAACAAAGGTACCAGTATTGTGAAAACAGGCCTGTGCAAATCCTAAAAAGTACATATTCAGTCATTAGATCTCTAGAAATATTATATTATTTTCAAGAATGAACTCGATTATTAAATATTAGAATTAACAATACTGACTGTCAAAGGCCTTGGTGAGGCATCAAATCACAGCCCCTAATTTCCAAGCAGATGCCAGTCTAATATGCTTGCTACTACGCTATGCCTTATTGAGATACATGCAGGGATAAAATAAGTGGTTTGCGATATAATTTTTGGCAAATAGCGATGTAGAGCAGAGCCCATAAAGCAAAATACTGCTATACAATTAAAAAAAAGCAATTTCTCCCCTGACATGTAAGAAAGTAGTAGTGCTCTTGCAAAGAATTTTTGTCCCAAACTCGCAGATTTTCAATAAGGAAAAAAACTTTGATAAAATTGTTGAACTCCTAACATCCTCTATAATACATCAAAAACTTATAAACTAAATGACCAGGGAATAAGACTGTCTGTCCGTCTATATAAACTTCCATGTTATTTGTCTCTATGATTACTGGTATTAAAAGTTAAAAAATTCTTGAACCTACCTGTCTTGTTTTGAAAAAATGTTGGAGAAGATACAAAAGATTCCTTCCATCTTGTAGAGGGTTCAATTAAGTGTACTACTTCATCTACAGTAATATCATTTGGTAAACAATCTAAACACAGTAGTTTGTACACATCTTGAGACTAAAAGGATAGTACAGGTATGACAAAAAAAATATCAAAATTTTATAAACTGCTTGGAATCAACTACAGGCCAATCAAATTTCAATTCTGATAATTCATTAATTGATACTTGAAATTGAGCTTTTACAACTGATCACACAAACTATAAACCTAAACTTGAGATAAAATACATAAATAATTCCAAACATTATCATATGCTTCATTGCTGGATAAAATCATTTGATTAACATAGATATGGCAGAGAAAAATTCAGATGGGAAACAAAATTAAACTTACAATATTTACTGGCACTTCATTCTTTAATTCTGATGAATTTCTTCCTGTATTTTTTAATCGTCTACCATTATTTACTTGTGTTGTTTGTAAAACTGATCTTAATCCATTGGCAATGGCTGCCAACTGAGACAGACAAACCTTTAAAATTTAAACATAATTAGTAACATTTACTTGAACAAACTAAGAAGTCTAGTTTTGAATTTAAAAAAACAAAACAATTATCACTACCGAGTATCATCAAAATCATCTCATTACAAATTGAAACCCTTTCAGGATTTGATAGTTAGATAAAAAAAATAAATCTTCAAAATTATGCTTGATTCAGAGGCATGAAGGTAAAAACATATAAACTTTTTTTTAAATATAAAGAACCAGGGAAGAAGTCTCTCTGTCTATCTTCATAAGCTAACCTTTTCATATCATAAAAAATAGATTGGAAATATCTTTATACATGACTTCAGTTGTGAGTGATCATTCAATTAACGGAGATCAGCCACAAATAAAAATAATAACAAACAAATCATCAAGGTACCAATGAAAACACAACACGATTTGAATTTTTCACCCTTCACATTAGTAAGAATAGGCCTAGAATTTTACCATTTTGATCCGAAATCAGATGAAAATTGCATCTTTTCAATATATTTTGTCTGCTATGCAATTTTGCTTTCGTCAGCATAAAGAACACCTGCTATGATACTATTTATCTATAGTAACATAACCTCCTTTTTTTTCAATATAGAATATTAGTAATCAAATGAGTGACAAATTAACATTATCTTATTGTTTTCTTTAGTCCCCTAATCTCTTAAATAGTGACAGTGAAACGTTGGGTGTAAATTTATTTAGTATTTTTATTGAACAATAGTTAGATTAGTATGAGGAGGAACACTGAGGGAGATATAAAATAGGTCTTGTGTGAAGGGAAAATATTCTATGAAACAATTCATATAAGGTTGGGATTAAGTTTCATCACAGTAAATGGCAGAAAATCGTCTGAAGTGGAGATGGTCGTAACAAGCATTAGCCACCTTCTTCTATATATATACAATTAGAGAGAGTCGACTGTTGATAGAAACAGATGCCTGTGTCAAAAACTTTCGGTAGTATTTTGTAATTGAAATTTCAGTTCATATGAAAATGATTGCCAAAATTCAAATCAGAAAGCAGTGTAGACTAGTAGTGTAGTCAGAGAGAGTAGCTAGAAATCCAGATTGGCATATTAAAAATCGTATGATAAATAATCTAACCTGGGATTGGGCAGAAGTTTGTGAAAACACTGAATACATAATTGATTCTCTCCAAAATTAAAGTCTGCACTAGACCTGTTAAGTAGAACTAAATCTATTTATATTTTCATTTTATATAACATGTTTGTCTCTCCTCCGCCATTGCCGGAAACAGGAAGTGCGTCTAATTGTTAGACTCAGACCACAACATCTAAACACCTGTTGCAAAACGTCTCCTGTGTTGTGACAGTGACAACGGTCCGAAAAAAATTCGATCAAAAACATAGAAATACTTTGAATAGAATCGCATCATATTTTTCTAAAAAAAAAACTTAGTTAGACTATGATCAATGATGGGAATAGCCAATCAGAATTGAGTTTGGGAATGATGCAATTTTGTTTACAAAACTCAACTTTCTGACAAAACGATTGCACCAATATCTATGGAACAGAATCGCCCAACTAAAAACGCATAACAGAGAAAACAACCAAGTCTTTCTCTATTTCGCTGTCCTATTCACCCTCAACTGTTTTGAATTATGATAGCCTTTTCTTGAAACACTGTCATAAATATAGTCTGAAAAAAACATATTTTGGTTAATCTGGATTACTTCCCTTCAACTATTTCTTACCAGTAGCCTAACAGAACCACACAGCGAACACGCAAAACAGAACGACCCAGTAATTCTTTATTCTGCATTTCTCCCTTTTGCTATCCTATTCACCCTCAAAAGTTTTTATGATAGCTTACCAAACAATGAAAAACGCACAATTATGCATCAGATCAACTTATACAAACGTATCAGTTTAATGCTTCACTTTCCGCTCCTAATAAACCGACTGATCAAGACACTCACAAAAATAAACTTCATTATGACTCTATAATTCAATAATACGTGTTCTTTAAGATTCATCAAAATCCGTATTCAAATCAAGTGGTGGGCAGACTTGTCTGCAGCTCATGAGAAATTAACTATATAGGCAATAATATTACGGTAATGAAAACTCTATCAAGCTTGAATTTGGTAATTAATAGAATGAACAGTTTTGGAGTTATGTCCAAATTTGGCTCGTAGGCACGACAGAGGCTAGTTTACTTTCTTGATGAAACTTGTTAGCATATTGATGAGAGCAAGGTCAAGTTTGAATATGTGTATTGGGATGTGATCCCTGGACCGATGTATTCTTTAGAAGGGTAGTTTCAACTCAAGTTGATCATCAATATTCTTTATTGTTAAACAATCTTCAATCGTAATAAAAAACTTAGTAAAACCTTAAATAAACAAATAAGGTTTTTTTAACACATGAAACATATATAAAAGGTATTCAAAAGTTTAAACTTAAATCGTAACTATTCTCTACTGTAAGTAACCTACACTATCTAACAATAAAAAGTCTTACTTACATCTAGACACATGGACTATACTAAAAGACTAATGCAATGAAACAAGGGGGAACAAAGAAAATAAAACACTATTTTGTTTTACAAAGGGCTAATTATGGCTTAGACTTACATCTGGATAATACATGAACTAAACAATAAGGTTAATCATATGCAAACTAAACAATAAGGCTAATGCACTGAAACAGGGGAGAAAATATATACATATACTA